AATGTTGTGTGAGAAACTACTCACAAAACAGATTTATTGCTGATTCAAGGGAATAGATACTTGATTTGGCTTGATCCAAATGAAATTGCACTATGGGCTGTTGTAGCAACAGGGCAGGCTCAGCTCTCACTGCAATCTGTCCATTTTGCCAAGCCCTTTCTGTTCCCTGCTGGACTCAGTGATGTGTTTTCCATGCATTGATTTCTTCAGGGGTTTTCCTTCTTAGGCTTTTTCCTCTGTACCCTATTACAGGCCTTCAGTTTATCTTTCAAATGTCTTTCTCTGTGTCCTAGTTAGAATCATGGACCATGGACCTAAATTGGAAGGGACCCACGAGTATCACCAAGCCCAGCCCCTGGCCCTGCACGGACACCCCAGCAATCCCACCCTGTGCATCCCTGAGAGCGTTGTCCAAATGCTCCTGGAGCTCTGGCAGCCTTGGGGACGTGACCAAACCCTGAAGAGTCTGTTCAGTGCCCAGCACCCTCTGGGGAAAGAATCTTTCCCTGATAGCCACCCTAACCCTCCCCTGGCCAGCTCCAGCTGTTCCCTGGGTGCCATCCCTGTGCCAGGGACCCGAGATCAGAGCTGCCCCTCGGGAGGAGCTGCAGCCCCCGGGGAGCTCTGACCTTAGTCTTCCACTTCTCCAGCTGAGCAAACCAAGTGTCCTCAGCCCCTCTCTGTAGCGCCCCTCTAGACGTTGGACCATCTTCACTGCCCTCCTTTGAACACTCTTTCTTATACTGCAGTGACCAAAATTTCAGACAATATTTGAGGTGAGGCCATCCCAGTGCAGGGTGGAGTGGGACAATCCTCTCCCTGGCCCAGCTGGTCATGCTGGGCCTGGTGCCCCCCCAGAACAGGAATGTCCCCCCTGGCTGCCAGGGCCGTGCTGACTCATACCAAATTTTCCATCCACCCTGCAGTTCAGACTTGGAGACCTTCTTGCTCCATCAGCTTCTTTGGTTGCAGGTTGGGGGCAAGAAACAGTATTGGTTAATATGCACATTTGGGACATTCACAGTGCATATTTCCTCATGTCTGTTATAAAGACAAATGTGAAAATATTGTCAGAAATACCTACACAGCATCCTAATTTGAATTTGTGCATCCTGACTGCAGTCTGTGATGTTTCTGTTTAACAAATGGATTTTAAAGTGTGGCTGACTAAAAAGAGTTTTGTAATCCACAGAAGAGGTCACTGAGAGCCTTGTGCGATATGGTATGTAGCCATTATTGACCTTTTCTAAGTTACTGTGTCCCCTTACAATCACTTTACCAAATGAGACACTTAGGAGTATATTTTAAGGATATTTTCAGTTTAATTATCACTGTTGAAAGACGTATCTCTGTTAGCTTTGTGCATACATAGCAAAGAAAACTTAATCATGGGCTGATTCATGTTTTATGTAAGTGCTTCTAGTATCAAGCTGACAATTCAGATTAGCTGTCCTTTTACAAAGGCTGAGAGGTAAAATCCTTAAAACTTATTGAGGAATCCTGAGGCAGAACATCTTCATTTCCACAAACTGGCGTTTCACTATGGGATGTGGAAGGGAGATTCCACGATTAACAGCTTCTCAACTTGCAGCAAGGCTTCTTCCCTTCTGCTTCCCCCTGCTCTCCCTGCCCCTGCTCCTGCTCTGTGTTTCCTTTGCAGCCCCATCCAGGTTGTGCCTGTGCCCAGCACTCCCCTGGCAGCACACATGAGAAGATGGATTTTCCTTCGAGGGCTGCATTGTCCTGCAGTTGTGTGCATTTCAGTGCCATTGTGAGCTCCTTCCCCACGTAAAAACAGAGCTCTTTCTATCCTCGAGCACAAAGACCAAGCTGTTGTGGGGGGAGGAATATCGGTAAATCTTCCCCCTTCTCCTGTTTATTCTTCGTGCCATTCAAGTCCACTTAGCGAATGACCAATTAACTCCACATTCAGGGCACATTCTGATGGACCAGATTTCTCCCACCTAAGATGACACAGCCGAATTTCCAAATAGTTTCTAGCTGAATGCAGAATTTGGTTTTCCTTGCTCTTTAATTCATGGTTCCCAAACTGTTATTCTAGTTATTACACAAATCAACTTTTTTTTTCCTTTTTATTCTCTCCATTTTCTCACCAGCAATATTGAAAAATACAGGGAAAATGTGTACCAAAATGGATTCCTTGTGCATCCAGGTTTTTATTACTGTGAATAAAACTGTTTAAAGATATTTGTCCTTCAGTAATTATTCTGCTAGCTGTACATGGCACATCACTGCATACGGAAATTTACAGGAAGCAGGAGTTTTACACATTACTTTTCTATGGTAAAAACATGCTGCAAAAGTAATAATTTGTAAAGTAACTCGAATTAGTGAGGAAAAAGCAGTTTTAACTATGATATAATATTCATTAAATCAAAGCCCAATACAAAATTGGGGGGGGGGAAGATTCCAATATTAAATGTAGATCTGAATTATTTAACCATAATACAGAGTCGTAATTAACATCCCTACTGTATGTGGTTGCATTTTAAATCTTGTTGTGTGGAATTTAGGAGGACTAAGAGCAGTGACTCAATGAAAATTGGCAAGTCACAAGTTTGAAAGTAAATTACGTTAATAACTTTATTTTGATACCCCATTCTGGTGCCTGCATTGAATAAAAATTCTATTTTGTGTTAAGTGGCAGGTCTGCAAAGAAACTGTGCATTAACCCCTGATATACATTGCTAGGATTAGGTACTGCATGGGCTTGTGTTCTTAAATAATATATATACAAGGAGTGAGTTAAAACCCGAGTCCTAACAGGTAGCTTGTCATCCTTGCAGCATCTTTTGTGATGCTTCTGTTTCCCTTCTCAGAAATTCTCTGTTTTCACAGTGTTGGGAGGGAGTTTTGCCTGAGAAGGATCAGTGCACACAGGACAGACCTGTCCCACCTGCCCCTGGTGGCACTTGCTGCTGTGCAGGGAGTCAGTGACAGTCCCATCACTGCTGCCTCATTAACTGGGGAGATCCTGCAGTCTGGAAGGAGGAGAGAACCTGATCTGTCCCAGACAATGTGTAATATCATCTGCAACTCTGGGCCACCTTTCTTTACTCAGTGAAAAACAACATCAGAATTAGACATGGTTTTTATCAGTAACAAATGAGTTAAGCAGGAGGAACAGAACAATTCTAAATGCAAAGAAATATTTACCACTCGAATGTCTGAAGAAATCAGCAGTGGTAAAAAGGAGATATCACAAAGGGAATGCAAAACAGCTTAGTTGGGCTCTGAAAAACAAGTCTTTAAATTTGCCTCTTTAAACTTGTCCGAATGTTTTTCTGGATTTTTGGGCTCTGGCCTTTTGCAAGGGAAAAGAATAACGTAAATGCCAAAAGGAGCTGGACAAAAAGTAAGCTTTGTATCCTATCTATGAGAATCAGACGATATGTGTCATGCAAGTTATTACAGTCACAGTCTACAGTCTTGCCCTGATGGGAATCAGATTTGACAGCAGCACAAAGCAGAGGTTTAACTGACAGCACACACAGCACATTTGCGAGTCATAACGCCACAGTTTAATGACTGACGCATGTGGGAAGCTAATTCTGATTTTTTTTTTCTTGAATGGGATAAATGAGCATCCAGTTAATACCAATCATGTATTCAAGCCATGTGACAAAATTGATGCTACATACCCTGTTCTTATTTTGCATATTCTGCAAACTGAGCTGCAGGAAAAGAGCCAGTTTGTACACACATCCGGAGAGAAAGTTCATCCTGCTTTCTGACACATCCACCAATTGCAGCTGAATGCATCCAGCTTGCTGCTGTTGTGTTCACAAACTAATTACCCTTTCTCTGTTAAATAGCCTAAGAATTACAAATTGTATGCCTGTTTTGAGAAAAAGTACAGGTTGAACAAGCAGACATAGTATAAATAAAATATTTATATAAAAATAGTCTCTTACAAAATATACTCTCTTATCCTATGATTGATTTTTCCAAAAGATGGAATTTTGTCTGGATTTTCTTATTTTTAGACATATTCCAAACAGGATTTTATTAATGCTTCTTTCTTTAATCGAAGAAAAAAAAAAAACAAAACACAAAAACTGGTAAAGATTTGTAACCCCTACGACTCCACTTTTGTTCCAGACAACTAGCAGCAAACAGGAGGAAATAAACAAACAAAAACCCCAAAATACAGTGTGTTTGTGTATGTACATATATATAAAGATGCCAGCTTTTGTCCTTAAACATCCAGTACTGTAGAACATATCCTGCAAGTCCAACTAATACAAATATCCTAGTCAAGAATAATATATACAGCTCCAGTGTTTTCTCGCTGATCCCACAAAATTATTCCACAAAGAAAGCCAGCTATCTACTTTAATTGCAGAATAGTTCCAGAGGTTGGTAAAGTTCTTTTAATTAAATAAATTAATATTAGTTTTATCTGAATAAATTGTTAAATATTGTTATTATTATGCCCAAGTGTCCCAAATCCCTGTGCTAAAATCTGCAGCTCACACACACAAGAAAGGCAGATAAAGCAGTGTCTACAGAACCCTTCCACAGTTCTTCTTGCTGCAGCAAATGCTGTGAAGTGGAAAGATGGGCAAGACCAGCAGAAGCTTTTCACGAGTGTAGAAGCCTAAATCTGTGTTATCCACGCACTCCCAAGGGCAATTCAGGGGAAGGCTCTGTCCTTCCCATCCTGTGCAAAGCCCTTTTGTAGGGGTTTCTCCCCTACCCCTCCCAGCTTCTCATACACAGAAGTGTTTGACCATCCCTTTCCCAAACCGAGAGTTCGGTGCCACATCCAGATTTCTCCCTGGCTGCTGTCTCTCCGCAGGGCAGTCCGCGCTCCTTCCTTTCGAGGTGCAGGCTCACCGAGATGATCCTTTGCTCCCTCTTTTGTGTGTCTGGTGGCCCGGGGTGGGGTTGGTTTGTTTTTGTTTCTCGGCTGACTTTATGAGAGTCTGAAATGTGTATCCACATGAGCAACAAAACGTGAGGAGAGAAGAGAGGCCTCCACTCATCAGCATCTCCTCGGGGAGAGCAGCTCTTCCCCGCAGTTCTGCTCAGGGACACTGAGTGCATGTGCAAATGTATCCGGGCTGGAGCAGCCCCGGGCAGGCGCTCACTTACAGGTGTACACCTCTGTCCTCTCGCTGCATGTGTTGCATTTCACGTAGCAGCACCAGTGGAACTTGCAGTTGCACTGCCACACCCTGGAGTACTGGTGGGTGTTGTAGCCGCGGCCGCAGCACATCAGGTCGCAGCCGTTGGACTGCTGCGCCGTCTTGTTGCACATCCTGCCCTGCGTCCCCACGCTGCCCGTCACCGGGTCCTCCTCGCAGTAGTTGGGGGATTTCTCTATGTACACCAAGTCTGTATCCATGGGTTTGCGGTAGGAAAGGGGTTTCTTGATCTTGAGGAAGGTGGGGCGCTTGTTGCGGCTGGCCCTGACGGGCTCCACCTGCACGGCCTCATTGTACTTGTCCTTGAGGATGTAGCCCAGCTCCCGGAACTTGGGCAGCGTTGTCCAGCAGGTTTTAGTGGTGCAGGACCCTGACACCCCGTGGCACTTGCACTCTAACTTCATGTTTTCCTCCAGGATCTGTGGTTAGAAGAACAAAGAAGGATACATTAATAGCAGGGCTGTCGGATGGACACTGGCTGACACCCAGGGATGGGTTTGTTCTGCAGTGGGAGCTGCCACCACACACAGGTCACCCTGCTGTCCCAGGCAGCAAATGCTCATCAGTATGACCCAGCTCTGCCTGCAGAGCCGATTTCCCTCCTGCACTGCAAGCTCAGCAGGGAGCTCTGCCTAACTTCACAGCCAAGGGACTGAAGAACAAATGGGACCTTCCTCAGGCACAGCTTTTCTTCAACATGATTGCCCAGTGCCCAATACTTTCACATCCCCTGAAACTCTGTCCCTGTATCTTCTCCTGCTTTGCCAAATAAAACTGGAGTCCAGCTTAGTCCCTGATCTGTGTCCTGGGCCCCACAGCTGACTCCAAGCAGCAGTGACACTGGGACAACACAAGCAAACACACCTAATTCCCACTGTCTTTTTCTTGAAAGAGGCCACAATAATTTTGATGATGAAATTCTGCCTAACCTGGCAGAGCCCAGCACTGGAAAGCCCAGCCAGAGGGATTATCAGGGCTAAGGGAGTAGCCACATCATTTTTCCCCTGAGAAAACCCAGCTGATCCATGCAGCTCCAAACCTGGGCAGCCAGGAAGGCTGGAGGGAGGTCAGTGATATGGAAATTGGAATTAACCCTTTGTTACAGCCTCTCCCTTCAGTTTGGGGTGTTTGAAAAGAGCAGACACTGTCACTGGCCATTTTCAGCAGAAAACAGCAGCCTGCCCTGAAGGAGCCAAGTCCAGCTCTTAGGCTGGACATGCGTGGGGACCTCGAGCTGAAAACCTCAGTGTGAGCAGGGGTGGCTAGGACAGAGCACTGACCCAGAGCAGTGTCCCTGCCCATGGAATGAGAATTAGATGAACTCTAACATCTCTTCCTATGCAAATCATTCTGTGGTTCTGTGATTTTTTGATTCTATGAAATAGCTTTATTTTTATTTTAGTCTATGAGCAGATTGCCAGCACGTGTGGTCTGAAGACAGGATCATGACCCCAGAAAGCACAGGTCCAAACCTTTGGCACAAATGAACTCAGCACATGCTAGGTCACATTTTGTGCTACTGATTTTAAATCAGCTTCTCAAGCAAACTATCTAATGACTGCCCTAAAACTCAGATGTGAGAAAATTCCATATTCTGATCTACATCTTAACTTCTGCCCAAGCTTTGGCTTTATCTTGTTATCTTGAGTTTCTTTCTCAGCCACTGCATTCTTCTTTTATTGCTCACTCATTCATAAGGCAGGACACTTGGAAGATAGATGAGGAGATGGAAAAGGAGTTATAGCATAGAAACCAGAAAAATAACATAAATTCCTTTAGCCTCATTTGTACCATTTTAAAAGCTCTCTTTTTTGAAATTGAAACTAGCCAGGGATACACTTCTCAGCCCTCATTCAATCACTGCTCTTGTAGAAAGGGCTGGCCTTACATCCTGGTAAGATGTTCAAACTTGCAACAAGATATTTCCAACCTGCCTGCCATGGGGAACCGCCAAATTGGCTTGGAACATTAACACAAAACACATCATGTGCCATCTATCCAGGTAGGGTTTTTTTCCTGAAGTGTGGTTAATTAGCCTGAATTGCCTTTTGGTTTTATTTCATCACCATCCCACATCACCATGCAGCCAGCACTCTCTGAGGGATGGGGGCTCCTTGGGAAGGGGCTGAGCCAGGAGCAGGCGGCCTCGTGTCCTGGGCTGGGCTCCTGTCCCGGTCACAGCACCCCAAACACAGCCATGCCCTGCTCTGCAGCTCCCAGCCACGGGCTGGGATTAAAGGGTCTGGTTTGTCCTGAACAGAAGTTTGAGCCTCAGTTCCAGGGGTCCTTCCTAGAGGTCAAAAAACACTTGGAAGGGGACGGGAAGGAGCAGAGGGATGAGAAAATGCTGGTTTATTGTTCTCTTTCCCTTTTCTCTGCACTTGCCAGAGGTGCCAGAGGTTCCAAACTCTGTGCTGGACTCTCTCTGGCACATCTGTCTCATTTCTGTCCCCTGCACCCGGCAGCTGAGCTGGCCCCTCTGGACCTGCCTCTCTAACCCAGCCTCTCCACCTCTGGCTCACAACCCCTTTTGTTGCTCCTGTTCTTGCACACAAATCCATCCTCCTCTCGGGGCTTTCAGGGCCATGTCCTGCAAACTCAGCAAGCAACGAATTGGCTCCACAGCCTTTAGAAACTGGGCTACGTGGAACTTGAACCGTCTGGCCTCAGCAAAAGCAAACCCTGCAGTGGTGATTTGGTGGTTTTATTGTACTCTGAAAGCAGGTGCTTGCACTATTTCTATTTTGGACTATAAATATGTGGATGCTGGTATTTTAATACTATTATATTGTTTCAGTACCCTCTGATGAATCAGTGCCTGTAATATGGGATTCTTGGGCAGGGACAGCAGGCCACAGTCTTTTCCTTGGTTTCTGTGAGCCAAAAGCAGCACCCTTCCCTTAAAAACTTCATCTGTGTTAAAATCAGGAAGAACTCTTCACCTTTTATTTCAGGATTTGTTTCTTTGAAGGAATCATCCAGCAGCTCATGCTTTTTACATTAGATTAAAACTTTAGGTACATTTAGACTGACTTTTCCTAAAATGTAAGAGCCTGGAGGGCACAAAAATTCAAACCTAGATCCCCTGTTTCTTACCAAATGACCATATCCAGCTCTGTCAGCCATGGGAAGTAAATCTGTATGCACCAGTGGGTGCTCTGAACTGGATTACATGCAGACAAAGAGCTGGAGTTCTTTTAGCTTTGTCCACTTTTTCTTTGAGCTCCTACAGCAAACTGTCAGTACTTGTTTCTCCCTCTATCTCCCTTTGCCATTTGCCTCTGGGAAATAGTTTGTGTGGGGAGAGCTGGGCTGGCTCTCCCTGCTGATGTTATCTCCAGATGCAGCACCTTTGGGCTCTGCTATTGGGAGCACAACGTGTTTGCTCTCCCCACTTAGCTTTGCAAGGAATGTGTGGGGTTGGCCATGGGAGGGTGGCAGCAGCAGCCCAGGAAGTGCAGGGGCTGCTCCAGCTCCTGCAGTGGTCCTGGAGCCTGGCTGGGGCTGCTCCAGCTCCTGCAGTGGTCCTGGAGCCTGGCTGGGGCTGCTCCAGCTCCTGCTGTGGTCCTGGAGCCTGGCTGGGGCTGCTCCAGCTCCTGCTGTGGTCCTGGAGCCTGGCTGGGGCTGCTCCAGCTCCTGCTGTGGTCCTGGAGCCTGGCTGGGGCAGGCACAGCCAGGGGTCCTGGGTGTCCCACCCTGCTGGGGGGCACATGGAGCTTTGGTTCTGTGTCTGGTGTGCTCAGACACACCACTCACACCCACACAGGGCTCTTCTCAGCCCCAAGTCTGTCCTGCGTTACTCAGTGGGGTGTCCTGGGCTCCCAGCACCAAAGCAGATGAGTTCCCCAATGACCCCACACTCCACATTGAGGGGTCAGGCACTGCCCAGCCCTGGCTCAGCCACCAGAACTCTGCAGCCCACGATGCCAAAGCTGTGCTGAAGAACCTACATCTCAAACTTGGAGATCATCCCACCTCCAGATCATCTTCCCTCCAGCAGGATTCCCATAGGAACAGGATCCATACACAGCCAGGCACCCTCCAGTGCCACAGCCTGAATAACCCCAGCCCCAGGCTGCATGTTCAGCCCAGGTAATTACTGAGACACTGACTCCTGTCCACCAAGGCCAGGATCTTGCCTAATTTTGTCTGACATCAGATCACCTGCGTCAGGAAATCCCTGTCTTCTGCAAATGTCTGTACACACACCTTCACTGAAGGTTAAGGAAAGTACAAGTATTGGCAAAATTAGTGACATTTTCACTCCAGAGAAGAACATGGCAGGGCTTGGAAAGAGGCCACAGCATTTCTGTGGGCTGGGGAGGGCTGTGAGGAGATGCCCTTTTCAGCTGCTGGAAGGTGAGGATTGGTAATTTGTATTATTACAAAGGCAATTGTAACTCCTTAAACAAGACAAAGATCCTCAAACTTTGGGAATAATGTTGAGATACATTTGTTTTTCTATTGGAAAGGATTCATTGAATAAAAATAATGTTTTAAGCTAATATGATAAAGCCATGTATTATTTAATCTTTCAGCAAAATAACTTGAGAACCAAATCATGTGTAGAGTGAGAGCAGGAATTGGAAAGGGCACTGGGTGGATGGGTAGCACTGACTGGACAGACAACAAAAGGACTTTATCTCCTGAAGTTATTAGGACATGTCTCTATCACTTCTTTTATCCAAGTGTGATCTTAAATCTCAAAAGGGTGCTACTGTTTAAGTAACTTGCAGGACTGTTCTAGTCCCAAAGCTCTGAAATCTATGGGCAGTACAATACTTGGTGCTTTTTGATTGGAAAAAAAAGAAACCCTGCTGTCAGAGACAAATCCTATGGATTATTTAAGAAATGTGAGAAACTGCATAAAAAACACTCAAATACAAGTTTAAAATTAGCAAAGGTGTACTTAACCAGAAAAGATGGAAAATATTCCCATCAGTGGATGGCCACTAATTATATACACAGAGCTGCTGTCAAATGTCTTCTGTAGGAGCACATTTTGCACTGATCTCCTCTGGTAAACTGACTGGGATGAGCTTGGAAACGACTATGTCCCACAGTGAGTGACTCATTCCAGACAGGCTTTGATACCTCACCTGAACATCTTATGAAGATTCTATTAAGTGCAGCCAAAATATTTTTTTCTCATGTTTTTGATAAGTGAATCTGTGCAATAGAGTATCTGAAGTCAGTATCAAACAACTTTGCTCCTGAACACCATGAGCTGTAACTACCCCAGAAATCCTGCTACCACAGGCAGGCTGAACCCTTCTTCTCATGACAAGAATTTTTGTATTTTAAATAAAAAATGAGTGGGGAATCACCACAGCACGACCTACATCAATCAAACCAACTCTGCACTTTCCTTGGAATAGGTGTATCAGGAAAATCAGGCAACCTGCTGGTCTGAGGGCTG